GAACGTGTGTCTCTTCCTTGGAGGAGCAGCATCGCCCGGACTCGTCAGAGAGTCTGCACTGCAGCTGTGTGTGTCAGTGACGTGCAGTCAGGGGAGGCACGGATTGGCCATCGGGAGAGTCGAGACTTAAACGCCGCGGCTTTCTGGCTAGCACTTAGCATGTGGGACCGGACAGCTTTAAACCCCATCGACAGACTCCCCCCCCCACGCCGACAGAGCGGAGCAAGGCAACGAAACTTAAAATAAGAAGCAGCATTTTACGGCGCGCTATGCATGGGGCCGCCTTTCAGTAAATTAAATGGTGTTTCATGTTGTCGTTGCTGTGGACCTTCTTAATACCTTGGAAAACGCCGTTTAATACTTTTTAATAGCCTTAATTTTCGCTAAATTGATTTATCAACTTTTAATACTTTTTAAGACCCCGCGGACACCCTTTAGCCATGGCTTGTATTTCTCTTCTGCTAGCCAACGCTCGTTGAAACTGCAACCTCCTGGCATACTGTCATCTATCACTCTCTTCAGAATGCCCAGGTCACACACCTAACAAAAACACTTGCGGCAGGTCACGCGCGTAGCGCGGGAAGGCCGGAGCGGAGCTGTTTTATGTAAAAGCGAAGCAATTAAGCTCGCTCCGACTTCTTTATTTTCTTTTAATCTAAAAAGCGAAGTAAAGCATTTACATTTTCAAGCACTTTATCCCAAATTCAAGCACCATTCCCAAAATTCAAGCACTTTCGCAACCTTGAAAACACCACGTCAAATTTCAAGCATTTTCAAGGATTTCAAGCACCCGTACGAACCCTGATAAAAGTTGTGTAAATGTTTTTCATTTGCCAATTTAGAGTACCTTGTTCTGCAATCTTTTAGGCAAGAACAGCAGAGCTCCATCAAAGCTCCGTGCTGAGCCAAGCGTTTCCTCGTGCTGGAAGAGGAGTGCAGATCTCAGGCGACGGGCCTCCATTGGTGGGTTGAAGTCCACATGGTACTGATACAGCACCCACTGAGGGCGGGACAGGATGCGGAAGAAGTTTGCTGACAACCGGATGGCTTCACCGGATGTTCCTGAGGAAGTGTCCACACATTTAAGGAGTAATATCTCTCCACAAATTATAAAATGTACTTTGATTTAATACGTTAGCATATGTTTTTTGTAATGATTACTGACCAGACTTTGATTCCTTAACATGCTCCATAGCCATTCTGGTGTTAACCCCTGCATCATTAAAATCTCTGCGGCGTCCACCCCTTTCTCCAAGCTTCACCTGTTGAAATCCGGCTGAAATCTGTAGAACAGCTAACAAAAACAAATCCAGACTCAAAACTTGATTGCAAGCATTGTGATGCAATACTCGAAACTTGAAAAGGTTAAAAACACATACGCAAGAATGGTGCACTCCATTGTTTTATAAGACATAGGATATGGTTTTACTGGCACAAGTATAGTGTATTTCTAACGGTTATTACTTTTCCTTGTTTGATCAATCTGATTTCCCTGAATGCAGTCCTTACCATCGCCATATTTGCTGGTCTGGAGAAGGTGTGGCCACATTTTTAATGACCTTAGAACACTTTTCTGTCATACCACATTTTTAAATGCATTGCCACAGGCTTTCAAAAAAGCACGATCATATAGGAGAAATACAGATATCACGATGTTTGACGATACCTTCTGCCGAAAAGGGACTAGGAGCACCTTTCTGTCTCCCTCTTCCGACCAGCTGTCCAGGATCAGGTGGGGGAGCTGGCTCTCCTTGAGCCAAGGACTTCAAAAAAAGAAAGCAAATGTTGTTATTTATGTGCATTATGTGGATCTCTGTTTAAACTAGTATGAATATGCCAAACATATTTGCATCAAAGCAGTGTGCCTTTATTTCTAGGGATGCTCCGACCAATCGGCCGATCACATGACACTTTTTTCTGTGCGCGGCAAAACAAGCTCGCCAAAATGGCTTCACTACTCTGGCAGTATTATATGGCGTCCAAAAATGACAATAAAATAGCGCTATGCAACGTGTGTGACGCAGAAATGTCCAAAGTTAATGTAAACTTGAATAATGTATTTCATTTGAATGGAATAATTATGTTGGTTTTTTGTGGAAGCGCCAGTGAATGAGCCCCATTAACTGAATTTTAAACATCACTTTTAAATGGAAGATCCCCATAGGCCCCACCCACTCGATCAACCCCAAAATTGGCGACCGGAGCATCCCCAGGGCTCGACAGTAACGGTTGCCAGGTTGCCATTGGCAACCATTCAGAAAAAATTTCAACCGCTTCTTGGCCTTTGGTTGCCATCAGTGGCAACCAGTTTTTAACATAAAGAAATAAGGACAGCAAACTGTGCACCCCAAAATCGATGAATGTTCATTATTTGTTGTATTAAGAGGGATATTTAATTATTGTTGTGACCAGTCGGAACCTGATACTTAAGTTGCACGTGCATTGGTGTGATTACGGAGCCAGAAAGCGATGCACGTTTACTCACGTGCGCCGTGTGTTTGTTTTAAAAAAAGGGCGAAGCAAATTAAGTTGTTTGACTGTAGGGTAAAAATGTCAGCCAACCCGTCAACATCTCAAACGAATGTTCAAAGTGATTCAACTGATAAAGCGCAAGGTGAACCCGAACGAAAAGCAAAGAGGAAATGTGTAGAGTCTTGGGAGGCGAAACATTCTGCTCCGTTGTCCATCCACTTCCGGTAAAAGTTCCTTTAAAAGAGTCCCGATCTTATTACTACCAAAATAAAAGTGCAAAACGAAACTTTACCATATAGGCAAATATTGGCATAAAAATATAATCACTTCTATAAAAAGTTAACACATTTTAAATATAGTTACACATATTCAAGGTAATTTACAGGTTTAATAATTAATATCTAATTCTTAACTGTGAATGGTTTTCATTTATTTAACATTAGAAAAGTATTAGTCTGGCCAATCCAAGACTTCAATGCTGAAGGGCCAATGGATCTATGGTGGGGGTCAGCACAAAGGTCAAGACATCCTAAACTTGAAAGGGAGACAACGGATGACCAAGAAACTAGTGACTTGCTCAATTCATTTGAGGGATCTGTGAAGAACAGGACAACAGCTGCACTACTGGTATTTTGTATACCAGCAATTGAGGGTGGACAAGTTTACTACCACTTAAGTTTCAAATAATTGCGTTAATGACTTATTGTAAAGCATTTGAGCATTATTTTATGTCACATGTTCATTATTAAATTGATGTGTAACTGTATAGTATCTTAATTGTTTAAAATATAAGGTGTCTAAAAATGGCAACCGTATTTGCAGTTTTGGCAACCAAAAGCTGATGCCTGATTGCCAGCCTGGGAACCACTTTTAAAAGTTAACGTTGAACCCTGATCCTTATTTATTTCCATGTCCTTACTAGTGTTGCACAGTGTACCGATACTTGAAAGGTACCGCGATACCCTGCAGTTAAAAACTTTACGATTCCTCCGTTTCATTAGTATCGGTACTTTAAGAATAACGGGGAAAAGTACTCCGGTGAGAAAGCGCTGTTTTAATAAGAGCCGTGTGTGTTCAGCGCTCTGCTTCCACTCCCTGCACTGCAGCCGTGCCTGCAGTCCCTCCCCTCTCAAGCACGCTCTAAGTCTCTCCCCTCTCTCGTGCACGCGCTAGCTGCCAGAGCATGTGAGAAAACGAGAAGCATGGCTGCAAGTGGGAGTGCAACTGCCGCTGCGCCTCGGCTTTTTTTCCCAAAAAGACGCCAGAAGCGAAATTCGGAAGTATTTTAGCTATATCTCTGACAGTGAGGGCAAGCCTACGGACACCACGAGGCCTGTCTGTAAGAAATGTTTTAGATCCCTGCAAACCAAGGGAGCCAACACATCAAACTTGGCTAAGCACCTCGCCGACCGGCATCCAGAGCTGTTTAAAGAATTTAAAGACAGACAGGTTAGCGAATGTGATTGATAACATAATTACATCATGCTCAAGCCCATGCCCTCAAATCTAAGTCAAACAAGTGTAATTTATTTTGTGACAAACGAATGTTTTCGTAGTTTGACGGCAATGATAACTGTCTAATATCTTTTTAGCTAACATCTGCAATGTACACTTTGTCAACAATTATTTATATTACTGTAGCCTACTATTACATGTTAATAAAATATAAAAGTTAACTATCAAATAAATCACATAAACTCAAGTATAAAGAAGAGACCATGTTGTAAGAAAACACTTAACAGATAAACTACACTTTTATTTATCATGAAAATAATAAAAGAAAAGTATCGAAAAAGAATCGGAATTCTTGACTTGGTATCGGTATCGAAACCAAAATGTTGGTATCGTGGCAACACTAGTCCTTACTCCAGCAAACTCTAAGCAGGATTATGGCATTTATTAAGATTTGGATATTATTTATACATCAGTTTTTTTTTTACTATACATGCATTAGTCCAATGATCACGATTTTACATTAAAACAAGACACAACGAAAGAACATCTCCATTCTCTAAAGTTTTGTAATAATCATAAATGTGCTAATTGCTATTGGATGTCATTTTAGGAATCAAATTATGATTTAAGGAAATAAATGCCACTCTACTATAAACGATATGTACAATTAAAACAGTTAGGGCTGTGGATCATCAGTACCAGGCATGATTATTCAGTAGAGGTTTTATTGCCCACCACAAGCAAAATAGGATTAACTCAAATTCCTTTAGATATTAACATACATTACAGATATCAAAACTTGAGTTGATAGTAATCCAAGCGCAATCTACACTAATAATGCCTTCAATAAACATGCATATGTTGTAATAAAGTACTCACAATAATCAAGGAAATATACACGTTTTTGATCATGCATAAATTACCCTGAGGCCGTTTCTCAATGTCGAGTATACCTGCTGCAGAGACATTATTTAAAGTATACTACGTCATCGAGTGGCGCTGAATGATTGGCATTTAACATGCATTTAAACAGTCCTTCGGCGCCACTCGATGACGTAATTTACTTGAAATAGTGGCTCTGCAGCAGGTTTACTTGACATTGAGAAACAGCCAGTTTACAGTACACTGCACTTACCGCTCCAGGTGCTGTAGTCTCTTGACCACGTGCCCTGCCTCGTGATTTAGCTCGCGCTCTACCAGTCATTTTCGGACAGTCTCAAATCAAGCAGCTGTTCCAAAAAAGAATACAAATATAATTTAAAAAAAGTAATATATACACACACTGTTTCATAACTATCTACAGGTCAAGGTGAAGTTTCTCTCTGAACATTAGATTATCTAATGTTCAGAGAGAAACTTCACCAATAATATATATAAAAACAACAAAATGCTTTACATTAAGCAACATATTTTCATTTTGGCAGACAAGATGGCACCTGCTATTTTCTAATAGCGCATGAAAATTAAAGATGGGTCTGCCCACTGGTAATACCAGCTATCTTAGCTATTTAGCTAAAATTTGCATGCTAGCAGGACATAAATAATGTTGCGTCCATTATTAAACATTCATGTAAGCACTGCCCTTTTCTAAACCAGGTAGCTTAACAACGTAGCTAATATTAGCATGCTAACAAAGGCTACCGCCAAATAATGGAAGGACATATGTATAAAACGCTAATTTTCTGACAATGCTGCATAGTGACATTAAAACAGAGTCTCACATCTTCATATCTCATGCCAAAAAAAAGTATGTTTTGTTATTGTGTTCGGACAAAAACTTGTGACATAAATACAATGGATAGGGCAAAATGTCTTAAGGAACACGTGTTTCATGTTGCAGTTAAGATGGCGCATGCTAATTAATGATGAGCATTAGCCGATGCTAAACCAGGTAGCTTAACAACGTAGCTAATATAGCATGCTAACAAAGGCTACCGCCAAATACATTCGGTGTTCCTTCGCATATGGACCTTATATTGACATTTATAGTTATCAATTTAAGCCATGCACCAAATAAACCACAAGCTATGTTGTTCCATTGGTTGTCGACTGATGATCAATTAAAGTTAACACCAAGGCTAGGACCTCATGGGCGATGATATAATTTCTATAAGCAATACATCTGAACTTCGGCAACAAATCTGATTCAGGAATAACATTTAATGTCAATATCACCGTACGATGTATACGTTTTAATATATTTAGTGTAATACTCACTTTTAAAGAAAAGCTCCTTACACGGGCCTACTCGATGAAAGAAATGGTTCCACAGGTGCGTTTAAATGAGGCGCAATTTACTTATAGGCCAGTTTACTGCAAAGATTAATACGCTTGCAAAGTTCTTTAATAATTCATCAAACTCTTATTCCTTTAATATACGGCATAAATACCTATTAATGTTTTATATTTCAAAAATAAATCAAATAAAGACCTTTTTCAAGGGTTACTTACATAATAAATGTTGGACTATGGACTACTTTTTTAAGCGCATTGATCTGTTTAACCTTGTGCTGTTGTGTCTGCACTTTTTTATAGTGCTATCTTAATTGTGACCACTAGATGCCAGTATAGTCCACACAGTAAATATACAGACTAACAAACACTTGCTTCACTGAGTCTCATAATGAAGCAATGTTACACTTACTGAAGTACTTATAAGCATCAAACTGACAAACAATTGAGATTTTCACTTATGTGTAAACCACAACAATAGTCAAAACGCAAAATGCCATATGATCTTCAGTTTTTGAACATTAAAACTGTTGTGAAATATAACTAAGTAGCCCACATGTAATCAAGTGCTTTATTTAAGTACAAATACAAGCCTTTTAACTTTATTATAGTTTTTTCATTAAATTCAGCTCTATACCTCTGCTATGGCACATCCCAGAGGCAAATGTAAATACCTTTTATTCTGACAGCTTTATTTATTATTATTTATAACATCCTTTCTAAAAATTTCAAGGATAAATAGTTCCTCTGTGTTAATAAAACCTTTCTACGTCTTATGCTAAACAAACTATTTAAACAATGTGGGTCGGCTTTAAAAGTAAAAGATTTTAAAACTTTAACGCTTACATAAGGTACGTTTTTATTTTATAATGAAATGTGACACGCCATGTTTATTTTATAGTTTTGGGCTTAAGGATCAATTGCAGTCATTGTGAGCAAGGATCCATCACAAATCGTGTTATTAATTAGTTAAATGTGTATCTACTGTATGTACATTCATTTACTTATTTTTATAACTTATTTTTATTTATTTTTATTGCTTTCTTGAATCTGTAGCTGCTTTAACAAGTAAATGTGCCCTGTTAGGACCTATACAGTTCTTATAAATAAAGTCCTATGTAATCTTATCCTATTTTATTTCACAACATCCTATGTAGGCCTGTCAGTAAGGCCTAAATGGGTTCAGGCTGAGAATAGGAATCAAAATACAGTAGGTCATGATTATTCTTAAAAATATTGACTATAGATTGAATAAAATGTTGAAATTATTTGATGATGATGTCTAAGATTAATTAACACTTGATTATCTAAAGCCTCCAAGACTCTCTCTAAGACTTGGGCCTTTTGTATTGATTTTTTATTTCACTAATCTGTCTAATTTAACTTGTGACCATGATGAATATTGAAGGATTTATAGATGTATGTGTTAAGAATGCTTTAATAAAATCATCATATAATCTTATTACAAGGAATTATTTCTTTACAAATGTTTCCTCTTTTCTCCACATATCTCGGAGGGCTTTTTCAGAAAGATATCTCCAATGACTGAGAAGTAAGAGTGATTACAGATTCAGGGCAGTAGTGTCATCAAGCATTATTGTGGGGTACAAAGGTAAAAAGTCACAAGGAGAGTGAAATAAAACACATCAATAGGTTTTATGTATGAGCATAAAAGTTACACACATCATTTAGCTAAATCCTGAACAATATGACATAAAACGCCCTACAACTGTGACAGCTTTGATAACATAAAAAACACACTATCTCTTAAAAAACAACAAAGGCCACTGAACTAGAGTCAGAATGAAAGAAAAAGGATGAAAATGTGGCTGGGGAGTGGGCCGCAAGCTGAGCAGTGTGAGGCTGAAGAAGGTGCACCCTGCCAGGGACGTTGATGAATGCGCTTCAGGCTTCAAGCCTGCCCCCAGTGGTGTGGATTCCATGCTAATGCTAATCATGCTCTGTGAGATACTGGGGCCCACAGCTGATGAAAGGAAATATGCAACATAGTTAGAACATCAAACTGCCTGCACTTTCACAAAAACTCTTAATTTTTGCATTATTCTCATCACAACCAAGGATGTCACTATCATCATCTGTGTGAACATGTGTCTGTAATCTCGATAGGCTACAGTATCATATTCATAGCATTTAACTTCTTGTGACAAATGTTTAAAACAAAACAAGATCAAAGCTTTCATTCTACATACATCACATCAGTCCCATTAGGCTTGTCTTTTGATTGCAAAACCAGAACAAGAGGGGATTCTGAATAATGAGGATCTACCGTGCCATGATATCAGTAAGCGGGTTGGGGAAATTAGATTATTTGCTTGCCTGCCGTGGAACATAATCTGCTCTGCATCAGAGTGCTGCCCCTGAAAAAGACACAGGCACGGCATCACACACACAAACATGCACGCACTTGCACCATAGGTTACTAAGCCCATGCGAAGTACGGCATAGAATCGAGCAAAAAATGTAAATCTGGAACAAACTGGTGTTGTACTTATAATAGAGACATAATATGACACATTGGATTCATGCTTTTGTTAGCAATGGTGCATAGTTGGTATTTTCCAGGTAGATTTTGAATGAAGAACGCTATGAGAGATAGTTTCCCCCAAATGTATACCCAGTGGTGGAAGAAGTGTATCGTACATCTCTCATAGCGTTCTTCATTCAAAATCTACCTGGAAAATACCAACTATGCACNCCCTTTCACTTTATTAGTTACAGAATTATCTCACAGTTGCTGATTTCTCAGAGATGGAGCTGCACTGCTTTTTCTTCAACACACATGTGGTTGCAGAGATGAGATAAAGTTGCTGTGTGTGAGAGTGTGTTTGTGTGATGCACTTGTTTGAGTAGAAGTAAGCTATAGAATCGAGCTGTAATATGAAACAGGAGGTGTTAAAAATCATAAAGGAGACAGTAGCTGCTGAGGCTACGTATGCTAAAGACTGAACAGGCCTGATTCCTCCCCTTTTCTTCAAATGTTCAAAGAGATATCATCAACAATCTTAAAAGAGTGGGAGGCAGGAGGAAAGACAGGAGTGAGAACAGAACAAAGGCGATGAATTACAACAAACCAGTAGACTGTGTCTTCTTATTAGACTCTGACATCTTGTCATCCTTATTCCACCAAAGGCAGCGATAATAGGGGCAGATAGTTGCTTTAAAATATGCCAGACAGGGTTTCCTGGAAGCGCGATGATCAGTAAATGGAGAGCATAACTAGCCTTGGATCTGTGAACACATTGATATTACATTATTCTTCTTCACATTAAAGCTGTCATCTCTTTTTGTTCTACTTCTACACATCAACTACACAATAAAAGGTCTAGTGGAGGGAGGGCCAGAGCAGGCATGTCAGCTGTTGTCCTTGTCTTTGTGAGGGGTCAGAATAAATCAAATGCATGCTGCTTCACATCTGGGCTTTTTTGACAAAGGAAAATGTTTTGCATATCAATATGAATTTCCCACAAAACTGACTTTAACATAGCACAAATGATTGCCAGTTTAAAAGAATGGTATACATTAGGAAAATAGTGTGCGAGCTAAATCCATTGTTGCAAACCCATTAGCCTTGGCATTTTTTTTAGATAATCCGATGAGCATAGATGTTTTTTCCCTTGAATTTGGACCAAACCCTTTCAAATGTTAACAGCTGGATAAGGGGAATGGAGAAGCACATGTGCTGCATAGGAGGAGGGTATTGTGTTCATAAGTGTATTCATACCCTATATTTATGCTCCTGCTGCACACGCTGAGCGCTAACAGCTGAAATGCCACCACTGAGATATGCTGTGCTTAAACCATTTAGGCACGCTGGTGCCAGGTTTCTCATCTTGCTCGGACACATTTCTCAAATACTTTTAAAAGCACTTTGGTGACTCTTGTAAAAATGGACCTAAAGCACTCCTGTTTACTTGTGATCAGTATTTCACCCTTGATGAAGACCATGGCCAGGCTGGAGTATAAATCTTACCACCACACACTTTTTACAATGTAATGTGAGTGAGGTCTGGAGGATCTCACACACATAAAGAAAGGCGGAAGGCCTCATAACCTTTACTTTCTCAGCCACTCAGATCCTCCACTGGAAGATGCAATATAAAACCAAGATGGAGTTCTTACTGACTGTAACTACAATACATCATCAAGGTATACTTGTGCCGTTTATTGCAGCAGACTATGTGTCGATGTGTCGTATTCGGTTTATTTTATGACATAGGTTACTTTGGTGCTGCTGTGTCTTGCATAGGCTAGCTTTCTACAGGAATTGTTTCGCTTTAATAGGCTAATAAAAGCCTCACAGGGGGTTGGAGTCTATCCCCTTCAAAACACAGGATGTATGTCAGTTTACCATAGGGCTAAGACACATATTGAGGATAACACATCCATACTGATGGGCAAATGGTCATTTGACTTGGTGTATGAGAGGCAGGTATAGCGCAGGTAGTAAAAACATGGGGTAAATGCAAAAGAAAATCCACTGATTCAATGTGCAATCATAACAAATGATCTCAAAAGAAAATAAACTGGGGGAAGCTGAACTAAAGCTTTATACACTTCCCACCCAACAGTGGTGGTTTTGGTTTCTCTGCATGAGAACAATAGCCACTAGCTTTGGCACAGTGCTTTATGAATGCTGTTGAGCAATATGATTCATTTACTTAACCAATTAAAGAAATATCTTTCTCCAATGTGTGAGAAAGATCCAAAGGAATTCTACCTTCGTATTTGTTTGCTTTATACTTCCTTCACTTAAAAAAAGCAGGAAATAAATTTAAGTGTTTGTCCTCCTCCTGCGTTCAACAATGTTTCATATTGTAGACTAACAAAAACTGAGAACAGAATAAAGCCAGTGTTTTAAACTGTTAACATACATAACCTTGTTGTTATCTCATTAACACTAAGCAAGGTGAGTTTATTCACACACATAACTTTTTTTGTGATCAATTTTTTTAATTATTTATTAAACAAATGGTACAATCAATAACATAAAATGCAATACAGTACAAA